AGTTGGTTTACTTTTACTGTGCCAACAGTCTCGTTAAGATTGCTATGCCGTTGCTCCTGATGAACCTCATGGTATCTTATGGGATCTTAAAATTACCTGGCATTTTCTATCTCATTATTAAACCACCAATTTACAACTGCAGTGTCCACAAAAATAATAATTTTATGATTCTCTCTGATACAGGTCATGAAAATAGAGACCATTGGCAGTGTAATATAAAGATTGCCTCATATAGTTTTTGCCTCTACACAGTATTTTTAAAAAGTTAATTGATTATGCCCTGGAGGATGACTCCAACTGAGGAAAAGAAATAAGATACATATTAAGTTGCATAGTTGAAAATTGCTAACAGAATAAATCTTAAAAAGTTCTCATCATAAGAAAAAAATTGTAGCTATGTGGTGATATTAATTAGACTTAGTGTGGTGATCATTTTGCAATATATACAAATATTAAATCATTATGTTGTACACCTGAAACTAATATAATTTCAAAAACAAAAAAAAGTTTTTAAATTCACTTACAAGTACATTTTGGAAAAGGCAAAAGATATTGAGAAAGAAACATTTCAAAAACAAAAAAAAAGTTTTTAAATTCACTTACAAGTACATTTTGGAAAAGGCAAAAGATATTCAGAAAGAAAAAAGTGATTGCTCAGGGCTGGGAGTAGAAGGCAGAGTTAGTACAAGGGGCAGCAGAAAGGAATTTGGGGGGCACAGAATGGTTCCCCATCTTGTTTTTGGTGGTGCTTACATGACTATATACGTTTGTCAATACTCCTAGAAGTGTATATCAGAAACATTACATTTTACTGTATGTAGTTTATTTTTAAAACTTAAAGATTTCCAATTAAAATACAAATTGATCCTGTATCAATTTGTATTTTGCGGGCAGTGACCAACTGCTTGATCTTACCTGAAAGCCAACCTCTTTAAATGTGTAGCTATATCATATAGAACATGTGTTTTAAAATAGCTTTCTCGTGGTGTCACTTTTTAAAATTGACATGTCTAGAAATGTAAAGAAAAGAAAATAGACTCGACCTCAAAGAGTCCATGTGTTAAATCATTTCTTTCCCTTCAAACCTGGACATATCAATGTAAGTGACAGACGTAGGGGGGGAAAAAAAATCTCTTTCACTTGTGTAACTGTCAAACTCTGCAGCACCAAGCCCACCCAGGATCCAGCCAGGGGCCGAGAAGGTCTCCCCTTCACCCAGGCCTTCCTGAGCTTTTGAGCTCCTGCCTCAGGAGAATGTGTTTGTCTGGGAGGGCTCTCACACAGACCCAGGCTCCTCCCCACCTAGGGGAGTGGGTCAGTGGGGCTGAGGCTGTGGCTGCCAGCTGTAGGGCCCTCTGGTTGCTTCTTAATAAGCGCTTACCTAGTGTGTGTGTGGGGAGGGGGGAAAGGGGGGTCGGACTTGACTGTTTTTCTTTAGAACATGTGATACTTTTTGTCCTCCAGTTGGTCCTGGCCATCAACAGGAAAACTCCCACCTTATGTCCTAGGAAAGCCTCACAGCAATAAGACCACAGGAAGAGAACCGCTCAGCATCCTGTAACACATGTGGCCAGTTCAGTGTTAGCCTTTGGCAAGGAATTGGGAGGGAGGACAGTACAAGGAGGATTCGGGATGCTGCAAAAGGTCCTTGGCATGGCTGACAGGGAGGCCCCGGGAGTGAGTGCTCCCTGAGGAGAAGACCATGCAGTTCCTTTCACACTGGCACATGATGCTCCAAGGGTATTTTCTTCCTTTTTTATTTTTTAATATATGTTATTGATTTTTTTTACAGAGAGGAGGGGAGAGATATAGAGAGTTAGAAACATCGATCAGCTGCCTCCTGCACACCCCCGACTGGGGATGTGCCTGAAACCAAGCTGCATACCCTTGACTGGAATCGAACCTGGGACATTTCATTCCGCAGGCTGATGCTCTATCCACTGAGCCAAACCGGTTTTGGCTCCAAGGGTATTTTCCACACGTGAATGATGTGTTGGATAGAGAGGAGAACCTGAAAGCTATAATGAGCAGGCTTCTTTGAGGACTGGGAGGCGAGAGTAAAAGGAGAGCACATATAGACAGAGAAGGGAATTTCGGAGTTCCAGAACTTGGAAGTGAAGCAATCCTATAATTATTTCAGATTGCCACGGAGGAGTGGAGCTGGAGCTTGCAGGGTTAAGGAGCCACACTAAGAGATGATGGTATGGACTGGCTTGTCACGCCATTTGTTCATTTATTCATTCAACAAACTCTTGATGAGTACTATATGCCACATACTGGGCCTCAGAGCTATGGCAGGCAATGAACAAACATTCCCTGGTAAATGCAGGGATGGTAGCTGGGGAGACTTAACACAAGTAACAAAGGTGCCATAAGTGATTTTGGAGTTGAGTCTGTCTGGGTCTTGAATCCCAGATGCAGACACTTCATAACAATGTGACTTATAAGTTACTTGTCCCATGTGTGCCTCGGTTTCCTCATTCGTCAAATAAAAATGCTAACAGCGTCTACTTCATAGGGTTGTTGAGACGAATGCAGCAATTAGTGTAACGTTTTAGAACAGTGCCTAAAACACAGTAAGTACTCCATAATTATTAGCTGTTAAAAATATAAATGGATGCATACTTTAATGCCAGGTAGTAAAAAGTGCTACACAGGAAAATAATTCAGTTAGGGACTAGCGTGCGGTAGTGGGGTTATTTTAGATTAAGTGGTGAGTTGCAGGGGGGAGGGGTCGTCTCTTTGAGGAGTGATAGGTGAACAGGCATCTGAGTGGTGGGAGAGAACAAGCCACACAAAGGTCCGTGGGGAAGCGTAGGTTAGGTCAGTGGTCAGCAAACCGTGGCTCGGGAGCCACATGCAGCTCTTTGGCCCCTTGAGCGTGGCTCTTCTACACAATACCATGTGCAGGCGCGCATGTACAGTATGATGGAAACTTCAATCATAGCCCATGCGCAGAAGTCAGTTTTCTGCCTGGGCGAGTCTATTTTGAAGAAGTGGAGTTAGAACACTCAAGGGGCCAAAGAGCCGCATGTGGCTCACAAGCCAAGTTTGCCGGCCACTGCTTTAGGTGGCAGGAAGGAAGACCTTCGGCGCCTGGGAAAGGAGGTGGAGAAAATGGTGCTGAAGACAACTGCGAACCAGCAGCCCCTCCCTCCCATTTATACCTGCGGGGACAGTCACCTCGGGGGCTCTGGTCACCGGTGGCAGGCGCCCTGCTGGGGTGTGCAGGTGTCTCTGTGGCAAAGTGAAAATTTTAGAGATAGGGAAACGTGTGCTTAATGGCATGTCATATTTGTATCTATATAAAATGCTCCTATGCCGTTAGAAAATAATCCCAGCTCCACAATCCCTCATATTTTTTTAATGCTCGGGAGCCCAGGCATAGGGGACAGTTAGGTCCAGGGCCTCAGGTCTGGTAGGGTTAAACAAAGAATGGTGACACAATGCCTGTAACAGTGTGTGTGTGTGTGTGTGTGTATCCTATTAAAGCCTGTAATAAAATGAATAAATGTTGACGCTAAGGGGCATATATAAAGACTATAAATAGTCTCATGTGAGTTAGGATTTTTGCCTTCAAATGAGGCACATTGGGCTTTGCTGCCAGAGAATTACAAATAATAATAATAATAATAATAATAATTAAAAAAAAATAAAGGTTAGGCTCTACACTGCTTTTTTATATTGGAATTCCAGATAAAAAGATTGTGGCCCTGTCATAATTTGCAGGATCAGCCCTCTGGGGAGCAACATGTAGAAAACAAAATAAAAACCCAAACTGGAAAATCCGGATCCTTCTCTGCCTTAGCTGCTGTTTTCGAGATGCTTCCCATCTGTGATGTATAAACTCCTGTTAGAATCTTTTACCTGAGGTGCCTACAGCATTTCCTGTGTCAGGGGCCCAGAGGGAGAAGCGGGGTGTGGAGAGCTGATGGCATAAACCGGGAGCACCAAATTCCCGGTGCAGAAACGACCTGGTGCAAAGAAACCTGGTGCGTTTCCCCCCAAGCCAGCAGATGTTCTCCGGCAAAGGTAGCTCAAACCCAGAGCGGGGTGTCATCCCAGCGCTGTGTCTGCCTAGGAGGGTTCCCCAAGGGATTGGATTGGGGGTGCACAGCCTTTCGGAGCGTACACAGCCGCTGCATTTATTCTCAGAAACTCCTGACATCAAAAAGGTACGAAGGGATACCGCAACCTGAACAACGTTCCCTTCCGATCACATCCTTATCCAACGCGGAGTGCCAGGAGCTTCGAAACAATGGACCAGGCTACCCTGATCTGCAGGTTCCCCTGCTCTTTAGGAGCCCCACGCTGCTCCCGCCCTAGCCCGCCTGCCCCGGGGGTCCCGGCTCGTCCCGCCGAGGGAGGGCGGGCGCCGCCGCGGGCTCCGGCCACCAGGGGGCGCTGCGCCCCCCTCTCCCGCAGCGGCCGGCCGCCCGGTGGGTGTTCCCTCCGCCTCTCGCGCTCTCTCTCGCGGCCTCACATCCGGGTCTGGAGCGCGGCCGCTGTCAGTGTCGGTGCGGCGCGTCGGGGGCCGGGCCCGGGCGCAGTCAATGGCGGCGCGGGGAGGCGGGGCGGCGGCCGCGCTCAGCCCGGAGACCCCCAAACTTTAGGCTCGGCGCCCCCCCTCCCCCCCAACAACTTTCTGGGAAAAGTGCTGCCGCTCCGGGGCCCGGCGTGGGCGGAAGGGGAAGCCGAAGCGGAAAGTCCAGGAGGGAAGCGGCGCGGGAGCCGAGGAGAGACTCGAACCCGCGGCGAAGGCGTGCGGAGTCCGCCCGCCCGAGCCTCGCGCCGCCGCGCCCCCGCCTCCTCCCCGCGGCCCCCGAGCGGAGCCGCGCGCGCCGAGCCCGGGGCTGCGCGGGCCTCGCAGGCGGCGGCGGCGGCGGCGGCGGCGGCGGCGGCGCCAGGCCGGGCTCCCGGGGGCTCCGGGCCGCGGAGGAAGCCGGCGCCGGGCCCCGCGCGCTGCATGCGGCCGGGGCGGCCGTGAGCCGGCGGCGACGATGGAAGGCTTGACGCTGAGCGATGCGGAGCAGAAATACTACTCGGATCTCTTCTCCTACTGCGACATCGAGAGCACCAAGAAGGTGGCGGCCAACGGGCGGGTGCTCGAGCTGTTCCGGGCCGCGCAGCTGCCCAACGACGTGGTCCTCCAGGTGAGGTCGCCGCGGCGCCCGTCCCCGCCGCGCCCGGGCCTGCCGGCCGCCGGGGGGGGGGGGGGGGGGAGCCTTCCCGGCCGCCCGGGCCTCCCGCCGGCGCCCCCGGGGGTGGGAGTGGGTGCCGTTTCCTGGACGGACGGCGGTGGGCAGGTCCCCCCTCCCCTCCCATAACACACACTCCCCGCACCCCGGCCCCCGCCCCGGTGCACCGTCCTCCGCCGGGGCCGCAGGTGCCCGGGCCCCGCACCCCGCCGGCCGCGGGCGAGCGGGAGGGGGTCGCTGGCTCTCGGAGGAGAAAAGTCAGGCAGAGATCTGTTTGTTGTCTCTGATGAGCCCGGGACCTGGATCTCTTCGGCTACCCCCCCCGTCACCCCCAGAATCTGTCCGTTTCCAGCCCTTGGAAGAGCAACTTGAGCTGAAGAATCTTGGGGTGGTTACCGTGTCTCTGAGTCGTTAAGTCTTGGGGTCGTGCAGAGTAGTCATGTCATCCATAGAGGTACAATGTGGTGGTGGTGTTTTTTTTAAATTCTGGAATGAACCGAGCAGACACGGGGAAGTGGATCTTATAGATCTGGAAAGGGAAGAGCAGTGTTTCCAAAAAAGTTACATTCTTAGGGAGATTTAAAAAAAAAAAAAAAAAGTGAACTACTCCTGGCGAGTAGTTCACAAGAAGATCCGGGAAAGCACTTAGAAATGAACAATAGGACGTGCGGCTGGCGTACACGGGACAGGTTTCCCATGGGCATTGGGTGAGACGTGTGCGTTTGGGTTGGGAGATAAGCACTGAGCAGCTGGGAGTCAGAGGTGTGTTTGCCTCCCTCTGTAGTCCTAGAGGGGCAAGCAGAGCGAGTGTTAAGCCTTCTCTTATCACATCCGTGTTTTGTTTTTTTTTTAATAAAAGGCTTCCTAGAAGTTCTTATCTAATGTACGTGGTGGGCATTGATGTTACTGTTTCATGATTCATATCTGCTAGTAAGTAGAGTCTGTCTAAGTAGCAAATCAGGAACAGGTTTTAAGCTTTCATCTTTATGATGGTTGAAGAGTTATCAAAATCTCCAGAACTTAAAGCCCAATGCATAGTTACGGGGCAGGGTACCTCAGAGAGCACTGGATCCAGAGGTTGGAGGCCTGGGGCTTTGACACCATTCTGTTGTTCACTGACCCTGTGCCTGTGGGCCAGGCACTTTCTCTCTTCAAAGCATATACAAGGAGAGGCGAGCACTCCCAAACAAAGATTCTGGGAAGTATAACAATTCACGCAGGCCTCTCTTTTAGAAGTTACCTGTGCAGTAACTGTGACTAAGATGAATGCATTCTGTCTTTCTTGCATACTCTTGTATGTTTTATATTGCTTTTTTAAAATCTTGGAAGGAAAGGTTGGGTGTCTTACATACCAGCAGCTGGGAGTCTCAAATTCATGTTGCTGAACAGGGAGTTTTAGGCTTTGGCTGCCACAGTCTCTGTCTCCTATTCTTCTTTGCTTTTTACAACCCTTTTAAAAAAAAAAGTAGAAACCAGTCTTACCTCAGGGACACACAAAACGCGGCCTATAGTTTGCTGACCCTGCTAAAGACTGTTAGCTGCAGGGTGGGGTATGTACACTCTTCATATGGCTTTGGTCTGGTCAGAACATGGTCCTTTTGTAGAAATAAAACACACTTTCAACTCAGTTAGGAACTAAAATTAAGGAGAAACTTCCCATGTTATATTTTGGTTTATGTCGTCCTGGGTGGGGAACCTTTTTTCTGCTAAGGGCCATTTGGATATTGGTAACATCATTCGCTTAATATAATTAACTGAATATAAATTTATGTTGCTATGAAAGAAGCTCCTAGGTTTATTGAATTTCGAATCCCACCTACGGTTGCCTTGGCAGGGCCAGACCAAATAATTTCTCGGGCCTTACATGACCCAGGGGCCGGCTATTCCCTACCCATGGTTATGTCTTTGGGCTGGGGGCAGCTAAAATAAACTAACTCATTTATTTAGGACTTTAAATGTATTATTTCTGATAGGCAAATTTATTAATTAACCTTTGCTTAAAATACATGTTTAATTCAATCCACTTATTTTCATGTGGATTTGCTTAATTTTATTAACATCGAAAAATATCTATTGCCTTTTTGTATGAAGAGAGAGCTTAAATAGCATAAATATTCAGGATTTAATTACAAGTTGGAAGCTATAAGAAATCCCTACAGCGGAATTCTTGCAGTAACATATACTGCAGTGGCATTCTGGGTATCTTGAAGGCATTTATCTAAAAATTGGCTTAAGAGATAAAATTTGAGACAAAAGCGAGGGAATGTGAACTTAATTGGCTTAAGGGAGTTTGAGATTGAAAACGTAGCTCTCCATTGCTTTCTAAATAGAAAGCATTTGGGGAAGCTCACATCTGTTGCGTTACCTCCCTAACACTGGTTGGGCATTGCAGGGTATCACTGGGATAAGAAGCTCTTGGTGACCTGGTAAATTACAGGAAAATACATGTGTAACATAAAGCAAATATGAACACCATAGGAGAGGTGCAAAGGAAGCATGATCAGGAAAGGCTTCTTAGTTCTGACGGAGTTTAGTGAGGAGGAAGGGCAGTGGGATTAAGAGGACTTCCAGGCAGAGAGAAAAACACCACCAAAGGTGGAAAGTGTAGGAGCCTGTCCAAGGACTAGCAGATAGCTTGTACCCAAGCTAGAGTATGTTTTCCAGGTAATGGAACATAGAATTAGACCGGAGTAGGGAAGATTATAAGAACAGATGAAAGATTCCATGTTTCAGTAGGCAGTGGAGCTCACTGGTAGTCTTTTACTTTGAGTGAGGAAAAGAGAGTAGAGGCTGGGCTTGGAGGTTGGCGCAGTGGTCTGGAATGGGTGCTAGGTAATGGGCATCCAAACTAGGGTGACAACAGAGGAACAGAACAGGAGGGGCCGGATGAACAAACAGGTCTTTTATTGAAGGGCTTCTGAGTAGTCAGTAGGGGAGATGCTTTGTGGGATACTGTTTAATTGAGGCCAGATTATCAAGGCTGGGTGGAGAGCGTTGAACTGTGAAAAAAACAGACAGTTGTAGATGTAAGAGAAATGACACATAAAAGCAGTGCTTTGGGAAGTCTTTAGGTCAGTAGGGCGGGAGATAGAGGTAAGAAACTGGAGATGAATTTGGGAACTGGAGATGAATAAGTGCATGTATGAAATGGTGATCTAGACCATGGTACTTAAATGGAGGAAGTGAGGAGGTATTGGTGAGGAAAATTATTTTATCCTGGTGGGTGGGGGGCGGGGGATGGGGCAGTTGCCACAACTAGGGAGAGGGAGCAGTTCTACTGGCATCTGGTGGATAAAAGGGAGAGATGCTGCTAAACTTGCTGCAGTACACAGGACAATCCCCCAGCAAATAATTTATCTGGCCCAAAATATCACTAGTGCTGAGATTGGACTTATAGTGGCAGAAGGACAGAAAATGAAGCAAGAGATAGAGTAGATTATGAAGGTAGACTTGGTGATATTTAGATGATATTAAGGTGAAAGAAGAGCCAAAACCGGTTTGGCTCAGTGGATAGAGAGTTGGCCTGTGGACTGAAGGGTCCCAGGTTCGATTCCGGTCAAGGGCATGTACCTTGGTTGCAGGCACATCCCCAATGGGGGGTGTGCGGGGGGCAGCTGATAGATGTTTCCCTCTCATCGATGTTTCCGACTCTCTATACCTCTCTCTTCCTCTCTATAAAAAATCAATAAAATATATTTTTAAAAAAAAGATGAAAGAAGACTAGGACAAGGATTAGTCTCTGTTGGACCCCACTCACAATTAGAAAAGGGGCTGGAAAAGGTCCCAATTCTTAAGAGATAATGAGTTTGATGTCAGCATTTTGAGATAGCAATGCAAATCTCCAGGAGATGGTTGGAAACAGGTAGAGATTTGTCCACCTAAGTGCTGGCTCTTACAGTGAAGTTCAGGCGTCTGGGATCTTATTTTCATCATCTAAGTGTCTTGCTTGGAGGCAAGGGACAGATAGCTCTTCACACTGTGGACATGCATCTACACATCAGAGCTTTGATTGATGGAGTCATTTTCAGCATTTGTTAATAAAAGTCGGGAGAAGGCTGAGTCATCTTGGGGAATGAGGCTAGGAACAAAGAACAGAGGGCCCAAAACTGAAGGAGGAATGAGCTGGCATTTATTGAGTGCTTATTATGTTTCTTTTACCAGGCAAGTAATTTTCATGGGGAATTCCTTTGATCCTTGCAACAACTCTGAAGTGGATATTATTTTTGTTTTTTAACTAGGAACTTGATAAGCAGAGAAATTAAATAACTTGTTAGTGAATAGAGTCTCTCTTCCTTATCATTATTCCTTGGCACCTCTCAACTATTTCTTTTTTAAAAATATCTATTTTATTGATTTCAGAGAAGCAGCGAGAGGGAGAGAGAGATGGAAACATCAATGAAGAGAGAAAATCATTGATTGGCTGCCTCCTGCACTCCCCACACTGGGGATCAGTGAAAGAGCAAACCAGGCATGCACCCTGGCCCAGAATTGAACCGTGAACACCTGGTTCATGGGTCAATGCCCAACCACTGAGCCACACCGGCTGGGCTCAGCTCTTTCTTTCACAGCTCATGTGATTGTTTTGCTCATAATTCTTATGAAGACTGGATATTCTAAATTATTTGTTTTGAGATATATATGGATTTTCTCCTTCACATATAGTTAGTATTATATATAATAATGTCTTAAGACACAGCCACTTAAGAGAAATAGGAAGATTCTTGAAGTTGGTATCATGGACACACAGACACACAATTTTACATTACTATAACTGTCAGACATCTTAAGGTACGTTCTGACTTTAAGGGTTTGTTTATGGAGACAGTATGGCAACACACAAAGCGAATATGAATAGCTAACACTTTATAGAATTATGCTCCACACCAGAAAGGAGCAGAACTCAGAGGGAGAAAAATCTGTCTTTATAGGATTTAATTGTAAGAAATTTTGCTGTC